TCTGAATACAGTCTCAGTATTCAGCCGAAAAATGCATATGGATAATACGTGATGAGGAATTCTAAAAGAAAGGCTCAGCCTCAAGACACTCTAATTAGCAAAAGAAAGAGTTCCGTGTTTGCAGTATGGTGTCCCACCGTTTGCAAATTTTGGACTGCCTGTTGGAAAACATGTCTCCAGCCGGCAGCAGTGGAATGAGTATACTTCACGACGTCCTGAGCTAGATATGCCTCAGTTAATAATCGACCCACCTTGATAGAGGATATCTCTTTGATAATGATTTTGATGTCCACTGCTCTTAATCCTATTCATAAGTGATGACTAAGCCCCACGTCGTGGATGATTTAAACATCTTTCGCCATGTTCCGAAACGACTCTCCGTATATCCCTCAAACTTCCTGGTAAGAACAGTTCCCCATCCAGAGAGATTCGTATGCAAGCGGAAAGAAATCAAAATGCCAAAAAAAACGATTTCAGGCATTTTCGTACGGTATTTTCACATAATGCGTTTACCTCAAGCAGAACATAACCACGCCCAGCAAGTATGGGTTTACTTTGACTGAGTTACGCCAACAGTCGAATAAATTTGAAACCAGGAACAAGCTACAGTGGTCCGTTTCGCTACAATTCTCTCGAAAAAGAATTATGGTGAAATTAGGCCACAGGTTTACACTGGAAGCGAAATGCCTCAAACAGGCGCCTCCACCGAATACGAGCGTGCACAGTTGAATAAGACCCCCACGGTACAACTATAGACCACAGGGACCATTCAGCCCACGGAACTCACATTTAAGGACACCAAAGCGTTCATGGATGGAACGTCACACCACAAGATCATGCTTATTGGTTGGAAAATTGAACTGAAAAGCTTCAATACTACTCAAAAGGAACCACTGGACACCCAGAACACCAGCTGGCGACCCCGAGTGCTCAATTACTACGTAAGCTGTGTAGACATTCGCGGACTGGAAACACGGACAGCCTATTGTAGAAATCACAGACCGGGTAAAACTGCACGCTGGAAGCTTTTTATATTCTTTATTTGTTTGTTCCCGGGGTACTTCGCCTTATTTACAATGAATAAATTAGGGTATCGCCGAACGTATCCAGCTGAGCAGTCAACGGCAGATACTAGCTTGTTGTTGTTGTTCTGTTACCCGTTTCATAGGGGGGCAGCTCCTTGATGAATCTCTCATTACAATAGTCGGTGCCTAGTCCAGACAAACGCTAAAAAAGCATGACTCAAGCGTGTGACTCTCTATAGAACTCTTTAAAATGGCGAAACCTAAGTTGGTCCCCAGGGCGCTCGCTGTTACGGTATATGTTGTACTAAACAATCCACTCCAGTTGCTCTTGAGGTTCATGGATGTTCAGCAAGCGTTCCGAAATCATCCGCGTTTAAAACACATGAAGGTTAGGAATATACATATACTGAATATACATATGCAAAACGCAGACGAGAAGACGAACAGTTGCACCTCGTCGAAGCAGGAATGAAAGAACTAGATGACCCGTGATGACAATAAGTACGATCTGAACAGTTTAGGCTGCCGGAACTGTTATACGCGCGGTATGGGAAATAGTAATTCACAGTCGCTGGAGTCACAACAAGATAACTTTTATGGTTTAAGACCTCATTTATATGGTAAACAAACATGAATGAGTTCAGGAGACATTTTAGTCACTTCCTCCCGCTTTACTATGGAAAACAATTAGGGGAATATTTCATCAGGACGAAGCTATGACCAGCTCTGTTTAGTTAACAAGGTCGTCGCTTCTCACCGGGATATCTGTCAGACTGTCCCTCAAGGAATACGGAAATGGATCCAATTATTAAATACTGAAATGCAGTTTTTTCAGCTGTAACACCCCTAGCTGCCATGCCACCAGAAAGAAGTACGAGAGTTGTTATACTGTTAGTTTGCCCGAGCCTAGGCAGCAGTAGAGGTTGAATTCGAGCGACCAACCTTCCAGTCAGTAAGTTCGCACATTAACCACTGAACATACGGGGCACAAAAGCGGCTGAAAGGCTCCTTGAGTTGGTGTACAGACTCAACGATGAATCACAAAGTGTGCTTAAATGGTTCAGAGGAGATTACGCGCATCCATAATCTTTTGATGATAAACGATAAAAGACGTCCATACTCAAAAACATGCGGATTATTACAAGTTTTGTATTGGCCTTTTTGGTGTTTCAGACACCTTCAGCAGTTAAGAAAAATGAAATTCTAGAAGTTTTGTGCAGATTATGTCCCATTCAACCATAACCTCATCGAACAACTACTTCCACTAATACATTAGAAGTTTGAATTGTCTAGGTTGAAGGAAGGCACAAAAATCTAAATACGCTTGGTCAGTTAAGCAACCAATGTGCGCGAAATTCAAGCAGTATTGATATGCTTCCTTCATCCAGCGCTCTTATGCGGGTTGTCTGTTCTAGAAAAAGCCTAAGGCTAGAGAATCATGCCTGGTGGAAGTAGCCCTCTTAGGTGAGGATTTCATGTGGAAATGGATCCACCGTGGCTCTAATCTGTTAAGAGTTCAGCCTACCCACACAAACTCTTAATAAACTGTGCCTCGAGAATGAAAGATGATCTACTCACAATTTTTCCGGTTAGACGACACATAGATAGTCAGATAACAATTGGCGCTTGCCATCAGAGGTATTAAAAAAAGACAAACTAATGTGGAGGTAACAGAAATGTCGTCCAAAGGTATGTTGAATTTGTCACAGTAGAAGTGGAACTAAAAACGACTGGGACCTGACAAGTCTACAAGTCCTGTTAGATCTACTCACTTTGGACGAAGCGGGGACACGAAGATGGAATAGTTATTTATGGAGTAAGTAGCACAACATGAGTATTCTTTCAATTGGAGCGGGATCAATGTGGTCGACACCAATGTTATCGCTAAAAACGCAGAAAAAGAACCCATTCTCGCACCTCCCAAATCACCAGTTAGCTTTACTATTTTACGCCAGATCAATGAGTAGATCCTTTCCAAGAATTTGTAAACAAAACATGAACGAATCGCGATGTGCTTCATCCCTGATTGCTGTGTGTACACTAGCTCGTGTGTGCTGAAATTTTGAGCTGGTTAGCTGATGAAGAACGGTCACATTGTTCATCTCGTTTGACAAACCGTCTGTTATCAGCAGAGAGCAGCTCAATACCGTATGTAACTAATGATTCACTACATTAGGTGATAGTCGTGAGGCTTTGTGTGAAACGGCCTGTAACATCGGAGCAGTGTGGGTGAACCATGCTTAACCGTGATCAGGATTCGACAAACTACTGCGAAAAGTGGGGATGGAGACCAGCAGAAACAAAAAAGTGCAGCGGTGTTCGTCGACATGAGTGTCTGGGACTGTGTTAAGATGAGCTACTTGGTGGCAACATCGGCCAAACCGCAGAAAAATCGCGCGAAACGATCAACTTTTGGAATGCAGCTATAAATACCCATTGGCATGTCCTGAGTCAATCCGAAACCTGATTTACCAGAAACTGTGGAAGTTCAAATTGTTGTCTCCGAGGAATGAACAGTCAAAACTGAATTGGGATGAACCATCCAGTTGCAAACAGAGCTATAATCAACTGCAAGATTAAATGTGGTGTTCTGCTCGCAGAGATTACATAGACGCTTCTGTAATCATAAAGCTGAAGGAATAGAACGTAGTAATCAGCACTAAGAACTTCGTATCTGTTATGAATAAGCAGCTTGAACACTCAGGTTGTGACTCGTTTGTAATGCCCGAAAACTAAATATACGATGTATCAACGATTGTGGGGGATGAAGGGTAAAGACTTCTGGGTATGGAACAATGTGACTGGCGTTCTTTTGGAGGGACAACTGATAAGGACTGGCCCCCATACCCTCTGAGCATAGGTAACGAGAACTCCAGCAAGACGATCACCGTGCAGCATTATCAATTGGAGAATATTATCACCGATGGATTCAGTTGAATCGCCCGTTGCAACCTAACTGAGCTGAGTTCACTAATGTGCTTTGAACAGTCTCCGTCAAAATACCGTAAGATTGTTCACTTCGACCAGCACAAATATCTGTACATCTGCCACTGAGTCCCACACCAACACGAACAATTTATACGGCAACATTTAACTTTGGCAGATTGTACCATAATCAGCGATTCGACTTCGTGGCATCTAAACATACTAGAATAATCAGCAAATAAAAACCGATCTGCCTCAGCAATCGAAAGTGCAAAGATCGCGATCGACTTTGGTGTCTTGGTTAGAAACCTTTAACGTGCTGTCGTTGGTTGGCCAGTTTCCACCAACTGGCACTCGAGCTGAGTTTCCTCACTCCACGACTTGGCCAGTTAGTATCCTGGCCTTCTGTCCGACAACCGAACTCCATCATGTAAAGTGCTTCTGTCTACACTCGAGCAACTTGGCAGTACCTCAGCCCTCAAGCTTCTATTGGGTGGCACGGCATCTACACACGGAAAGGGTGTTAAAGCTGATTGGTCACCGTTGTCCTTCTGCATCGTCCACTAGTCGCTCACCAGACGCTCCGGCATCCCTGCCCTTCAGAAAGCCCCACATCGCCTGATGATTTCAGTGGCAGTGACAAAAATGAGGACAAAATTCTACTTGACCACCAGGGAATTGATTTTCGGATCTGCTATCATCTTCATTACATTGGCCTTTTCGTTACAATTCTGTTCTAGTCAAATTCCAAGCCAACAGTTTGGTTATTATCGGGCTTCGAAAACGAACGATGACTTATGATTAGTGGGTGGTCACGCTATCCAACTTAACGGAACAAATCAATCCGAAATCACATTCACTAGGTTCTCCAGTCTGGCCAGTGGATAGGTGGTTCCGGGGTTGACATTGTATGTAACTGTTACGATGGCCTGACCATCCAGCAGGCCTGATGAACTCCAACAAGGTCGAAAGTGCTTGAACCTTTCAGAACCTGATCGGTGAAATAGCTTCATTCAAAATAGTGAAAAATCCGGAGATATATTACCCTATCAGGTGACGAAATTGTATTGCGTCCCAAGAAGTAAAACAACGACTTAAAATTACCAATAAAAAGCAGAACGGTAAAAAAGACAGCCAATACATGTGTATCACAGATGAAAAGGGTACGAAAGTAACCGGACTTCCCGGGAAGTCTACGGGCGACAACCTAACGGATCACACAACTTGGTAAAATCGAGACAGAACAAGGCCTAAGAACATGAAAAATAAGGGCGCGAAAAACACTTGAAATCACGGTGAGGTGATGACCGAAGGAAGGTTCATGATAACGGGTCGAAATGCAGCTGACCTCGGTTTACCGCAAACCGGTTAGCTTTAACAACCGAGGTTCTGAATTACTGGGTGAAGAGGAGCCATTGATAACATAACCATTGGGTACATCACTGTCATCAACGTCCGCAACATCACGTATCATGAGAGGAGCTGGTTCCGTATTGACAGTATCGTCACTATTCTGAGTATCTTTCGTGTAATTGCGGGCGTTGGCTGTTAGGCGGGCGTATTGTTCAGCCTGTTCCAGTGTGATCGTCAGCTTGCCTAATGTGGCCTTGTACCGGAGAACTTCATCAAACATGCGGCAACGTCTTCGTAGAACTGTAAGTTCCGATTCACGGGAGGACATTTCTCTCTCGAGTCTTTGAAGTTTCAAATTCTGTTGATAAATGAGTGTGTTCAATTCCTGGAGCTCCAACTTGCGTTTTTGATGAACCTCCTAAAAGGGAAAAAAGAGGATTAACACAAGATTCATGAAGAGAAAATACAATACCGAACCACTACAATAGCTTATGGCTGGTAGAAAACTGATGAGCTTTTTTCACTGCGATTCCCAACTATTTACTGGCACCCGGGTCAAGCCTGGTGTTAAGCAACCAAGTAAGCTACTGTCTTTCCAAACTCGCAATTGGACTAAAAACCTCCACCGGTTTTGGTGTGTTGCAGTGAGCGGATAGGCAGCTGTCGTTGCAAACCGCAAGACGATGGCGTAAATAGCTGTCACCAGAAGAGCTGACCAGCACCAGCCCATAAAGGACAGTCGACAATGCGTAAATATAAGTGCGAACAACGTTAACACCGCCTCCGAGGCACATCTACCTACCCCACTTTCCCAAATCATCGGTGATCGAAACTGTGGCAGCTAAAGCCGCTATACGGCAAGTACGCGGTCCTTACAGCTAATAATAATAATAAATAATAATAGTAATAAATATTAACCAATCAGAGATGGACAGATGAAAATACAAGTCGTTCAGTAGCGGCAACAACCTCGCAAATGGCTGCCAAACGATTGTCAGTTATAGGTTGTGCAATAAACGTGCATCGGTCCTGACCATCCGAAACACACAAATGCAATAAACTCTAAAGCCTAAGCAAATGGTAGAAAAGCATCGAAAATAGACTGCGTTGTTACTCAATCCCCTTACTATTTTGTTGGATGTGGACCAGGATAGGTAAATCATTAATCTAATAGTTTTTCATTGATCGAGTGATTCGCCAACCTCGCTGGCGAGTGACGTGCGACAGTGGCCCCTAAGAAATAAATATCTTTGGGAGACATAAAAGTACCTTCCCACCGAGGCACCCAACTTGTTACTCGGTCATCATGGTGTACAGTTAACACGTGGTGGATCGCTATCGTAAAGAATACTGCGAGCCCCGAAAACGCAGTCTGCTGGTGACAAACATTTTCTCGACGGAATTTATTTTTTTGAAACAGTAGTCTGCCATGACATCCGCATGTTTTCAACCATGGTCGTTGGTTTGTTCTCTGTGCTACTTTCCCCTAATAGCAAATGTGTTTAAGGGGAATTTGACTTCGGGGACTTTTAACACTTTGTTCAGAGTATGGTATGAATTAGCACTCCGACGGTAATAAACGCTCCAGATACTCGGCATCCTTGCACATATGCGCTTGAGACATACCAAAATTGCTGTTGTTGGCTCCTGTCATCCGAGCCACTTGTGTCACACAGAATAAGATCAACAGTTGATATCGAAATAGCTCGATGATTAACGCGCGAACTTAACGACCGGAAGATACGTGGTTCGAGACCAAACTCCGCACCTCGGCTGCTCCTGTCTATGCTTGGGAAACCTGGCAGTATCTCGCCCCCGTGCCTCCTTTGGATGGTGTGGCAGCTATGCACTGAATGTTACAACTGAAATGCCGTTTATTACTGTTAGCAAGATCAATAAAATCTGCACAAAAAAACAACGGCATAGGGAATATGTCCCAATGCAGCAATTCCTCTACTAAACATCAGTCCCTGTAATACAATCATATATGGGCATCAACAGCGAGATGAAGAGTGTTCATTTCTCCAAAACAAGATGACGTGTTTGAAATACCCCGTCGACCTACTACTTAGTTACCCACCCTGACACACAAAATCCCTCGGCTGATACCTAACGGAGATTTAGCCTGGCTTAGCTGATTAGTTCTCCTTACGCTTTAAATCTCGATCAGTCTTGCAAGCCAGTCGCTTGGCCTGACGAAGTCTCTGTGTCAAAAGCAAAACGTTGCCCAGCAATAAATCTACCCATTGTTACCAAACTTTTCCGAAAGCTGAAATACCCTAGTTTGTTTTTCTGTCTCAGGATCGTAAAAGAGGAAACGTAAATATTGGGGACTCGACTGGGGGTTAAGTTATTGGATTGTTTACTCACAATCCATACCATATCCATGGGACAAAAGTAACCTGACCAAGCTACCCATAAAACTGAATCGAAAGCTCGCTTATCTTTCAGAATAGCACAGTAGTGTTGCCAAACTCATCAGCTCTTGAGTGCAGTGGTTCATCTGTAAATATGGATCGTCAACATAAATGATGAATCTTTCAATTTGAAAACCAAAATTAGCAGAGCTCTGAGGATGCTCTAGGGGAGAATCAAGTGATGGAAAAATATATCTCTTCAGGGTGTATGTCCTCGTGAGGGAGTCTCGTAAATAATCCCGAAAAATCCCAATCCGGGAAGGCCTAAGTTGGTGATCAGGAGGAAGACCTTGTGTTACGTGGCTGTATGTAAACAGTTGCGAGTTATTACAATCCTACACACAAACACTGAAGCTGGCAAATAGTGTCTTTATATGATATGCGAATTTCACATGACACGTTTGGTACCCGTTGAAACCACCAATACTTAACAACACTGTAACCCAAGTGCACATCGGAGGTCCTTTATTTTATCTTTCCGGATAACATAACTGGAATCTTGTCTTCGTTTATCGTGTCACGGAACTGCGCGTTGCAGTACGACGGAGAACAGCTAATTAATGCTGCATCCACTTGAAAGAACACTACTCATAAGGTTGCTGAAAACTACTTCTTGAAATAGATATTATCAACAGTTCCGAAAAGTTAATCAGAACAGTCTCCATACATCAAACTAGGAAACGGTTGAGTACTTCAACTCCACCTTTAAACAAAGTAACACTTATATATCATTTAGGATTTTAGCGAGAATTTACTTGAAGTGCAACAGACTGAACCGCTGCTCAGTAATCGACCTGGCATTTTAAAGGGTCCGTTTTCCGGATATGAGCATGCCAGTTTATCCCGAATTATTCCACACAACCAAGGTCTCCGATGTCTGTTTAAAGGAGCATCCAGGATATTTTCTAGAAGTTTTCGGCGCGTTTCACTGCGTCCAAATCCTCAGCGTCCAAAATAAACTAAGTAATTCAAACCAAGGCTCGAGGTCCTACCTTGGTCGCAAATAAACCCAGGTGCAAGATAAGACAAGGATCTTGTAAGACATAACAAACGGCGAGCGTCAAAACTAAATATGGGCAAGAGAGACCTGTTGCCAAGTCAAACAGAAAGCAGATGTATTAAAAAGTTAGTGATAATAAAATAATAATAATTGTTCAGCTGTAGCACCCTTTCGGTGCCTAGCTGCAATGCCACCCGAAGGAAGCACGAGGACTGAGATACTGCCCAACCCTAGACAGGGAAAGTCGAGAGGAGGAGATCGGGTTCGAACCACGGAACTTCCGGTCAGTAAATTCGCGCTCTAACCACTTGAGCCATCTAGTCCCCTCACACCTCAAGCTCTTTACTCAACGAACATGTTCTGGAGCAAGTGGCTGCGGCGGGCGGGTCTTTTGAGAGAGCGAAATAACGGGTATAGAAACTTTTGGCCGTTAATACAAATTAGGATTTTATGCGCTGCAATTCATATCCGGCTTCTCATAATTTCACCGCAACGTGTCCGACAGTAATCACAGTTAAGCATTAGGGATCTGTTTGTGCCAACCTTTCCTAACTGGTCCTCCTTCTGTGGAGAAAAACGCACAGCCAACACAAACATGACGGAGTTATTCGCCGCACGAAACGCCTTCCCATCCTCGCAATCTATCTTGAGGAATGCAGCTCCGTTGAAAGTTCCTACTGCACCAAGACAACTAGCTACTCTGAAGTTCACCAGGCTCCAGTGTAAGTGGAGATCTCTCAAAAAACAGGTTCCATTCAGCACAAGCCACGAAAAACCATAGTGGCACTAAAGCCAGACCATCAAGTCAAATTGATAGTTCTGAATGAAGGCAGGGATGAAACAGTTATGCCGTAAGTTCAAATGTCGAAGCTGAAATAGACGGTAACTTAAGGATAGCAGATTTGCAATATGTAACGTGATGGTACAGGATCAGAGGACGAAAATTCCCACATCGCTCCCCGGCGGCCAAAGAAGTCCTCCATAAAAAAACCGTTCAGCTGTAGCACCCTTTCGGCGCCTAACTGCCATGCCACCCGAAGGAAGCACGAGGGCTGAGATACTGCCAGGTCGCCCACGCCTAGACAGTGGAAGTCGAGTGGCAGAGGTCGGGCTCGAACCACGGACCTTCCGGTCAGTAAATTCGCACTCTAACCACTTGGGCCATCTCGCCCCTCCATCAAAAAAGGAGCAGGC